GCCAGCTACTGGCGTACCAGCCCACATGAACGTCAGTCACTCGGATTTTTATGGCACGTAATTTGCAATAGGCAAAAGCAAAGTGGCCAACAGACAAAGACAAAGAAAAAGACGACAACGACGACGACGACAGCGATCACAATTTGCTTTGGCAACTTTTCACTTTTCATTTTGCGCTTTTCCCAAGAAGTGCTTAGCTCAATGTGTGTTGGCCTCTTGGCCTATTAAGTCCCTGGCTCAGCGTGTTCTATTGGCTTGGCAGCTGGCCAAATTGCGTATTGGCCAGTTGGTAAAAACCCAACAGGCACTTAACAGCGACCCATTTAGCCTAAACATTGCGCATACGCACCGTGGTGAATCAAAAGCCCACTCTCGACCAACAGTAATACATATATATAGACAGAGACATGACTAAGACAAAGTTTTGCTGAAATGTAACAGACGTCACGTGAGTCGCTGTAAAACTATGCGAAAATAATAACAGGCAAAAAATAACATCTGTCAATAACAACATATTTTTGCTAAGCTACAATATTTGCAAATTAGGAGAAACTTTTGCTACCAGACCATATTTTTATTTGTTATTTTTTTTATTTTTTCTTATTTTGTTTTTGAGGCATCGAGAGATGAAACCGAAACTGAAATTGAAACTGAAGAAAACATATCTATGTGCGTCTCTATGGCATATTTGTAGATATGTAACAAAAGGCACTTGTCTGGGTGAAATTTTCACCAGTTATTCAAATGAACAACAGTTGTTGTTGCTGTTGTTGTTGCTGTTGCTGCTGCTGCTGGCTAAACAAACAAAACAGTCAACAAAAAACGGAAACCGTTAAAGTCAAATAACAACAACAACTTGGCCACAACAAATGTTAGTTTTTTTTTTTTTAAATCGCTTTCAAATTGTACAAGTTGTTGTTGCTGTTGTTTGTTGTTGCTTTTGCTGCTGCGGCGCTTCGTCCCGCTGCCTTTGTTAATGAGGCATGCGTCGTTTTTTTTCTTACCCCCCTCCCTGGCTGCCCACTCGAAAGCCGAAGATCAATGGATATTTGCTGGCCAAGCCAAGACCAGGTTGATACCAAAACTCAAAAGTTGTTGCTGCTGTTGTTGTTGTTGTTGCTGCTGTTGTTGTTGTCTGCCACTTTCGTTGTTACTGTTGTTGATTTTGGAGTCGAGCTTTGAGCGATTTTTCATTGGAATAGAAAGTGAATTGAATTTGTTTTCAGTTGCTGTTGTTGTTGTTGTTGTTGCTACTGTTGCTGTTGTTGCTGTTCCATTGCTCTTGAGCCGCAGTCGTCTTCATTGGCGTTTACAATGAAAACAACATTAGTTGTCGAAAAATTGGACCATGTCATTGACCTTTGCCTGCCCAGAGCAGTGAGAGTGTTTTCTGTTTATATTTTGACTGATTTTTTAGTTTTGCTACCTTTTTTTTTGGTACTTTTTCTTTGGTATTTTGTTGAGTATTTTTTTTTTTGGGATATGACAGGCAAAACTTGCAGCGTGCAGCTTTTGCCTAACGGATTTTTCTCGAATGCAAGTGGAAATAGTGAGAAATGGAAAATGATGGGAAAGCTTTACACCAAGCCGATCGTCGAGTAGAAAGTATTTTTATGAGCAGATCCGTGTTCGAATACTCTCAAAAATACAAAAATATATATAAAACTGATATTCTGAAAAATATATTAATATTAATAAGTACGTTTAAATTAAGTATAAATAAATAATATATATGTATGTAAATGTATATATATTTATATTTTATAAATAGAAAAATATGTAAAAGAGAAGTAAATTCTAAAAATAGAAAGTATATAAAATACATTTGAAAATAAAAATAATTTAAGTAATATATATATAATATATATATTATTGTATATTCTGAAAATAGAAAAAAGATTGCATGTAGGTTTGCACATTAAAATAATGAAAATATAATTTTTAAAAATACAAATAAAATGACAGAATGAAAACTATAGCCAGTAAAGCGTGTAATTTCTCGTGTATCTATATATATGTATCTATCTATGGCTATAAAAAAAGTCCATAATATGCCCTCCATATATAGATCTAAGAAAAACTTCAAACCATTTGGATTACCTCACTTAAGTTAGACAAAGTCTACATCCTATTTCCAAAAGTCTGACTATTCATTTTGGCCCGAAATTGGATCAACTGCGATTTCTTTTACTACAAAATGTGTAAATTGAATAATTAAAATACAAAAATAAATAAATAAAAAATGCCACTTGCCCGTGCCACCAACAAGCGGCAACAACAATAGCGAACGACAACAGCTACAACTACAACTACAACTTCCACTTATTCCGTTGAGTTTGTTCACCTTTCGCCTAATTATCAAAATACATAAACGAAAATAAAATACATGCACATAAAAATATACAGAAACCAAAAAAAAATAAATCCAAAATTGTGCTACAAGACGCGTGCAAAGGCGGCGCTGACTGCGACGCGTCGCAGCGTCGACAACTTCAATGAAATCAATTTTACGATAATAATTTTTGAAAGCACAACAACAACAGGAGTAACAGCAGCAGCAGCAGCGGCAGCAACAACAACAGCGGCAGCGGCAACTGTGTAGCCCAACCGCTTCATAAACATTGAATCAGCGCCAGGCCTCAGCGCGGTACCGTTGGAAATTTCTTGCTTTTTCTTTTCTCATACATACCGACATACATACATATATTTATGTACACATATATATAAAATTTGTATTTGTATGCGTGTATTTTTTCGTTGTTATTGTCTTGCAAAAATGTAGGTCAAGTTATATGGTGAGTATCTCTCTCTCGCTCTGCGTGTGAGTGTGTGTGTGTGAGAGTGTGGGACGCTGACAGTTTGGTACAGACAACTCCAGAGTCGGTCAGTTAGTCACTTGGGCTGGAAGGGTGTTGGAGAAGGAGGGAAGCGGGCAGTTGCGGTAGGCGGGCCGCGCAGACTTTTCTAGTCGCTGCATCCCAGGCCAACTTTCACTTAGAAAGTTCTGCTTGCGGTTATCGTCGTTGTTTATGTTGATTTTTCGGCTGCTTTTGAGGGTGCCATAAATGACAAGTTAATATGCTTGTGGCTTTTAACTGGGTCAAGACGTGGGCCTGGGAAACTTGTAACCCAATGATCATCACGCCGATCAGCAAGCTATCAAACGCTCAAGCGATCAAGCGATCAAGCGCTCAAGCGCTCAATACGCTTGCATTTCATTTCATGTGCGCTGCTCGTATTAATTGCATTATTCTTGTTATTGTTGTTTTTGTTTTTTTATTTGTATTTTTTTATTTGATATTTTGTTCAATGCAAAACGCGAGAGCTTTCCGTTAGGCCAACCTTGGTGGAAACAGCTGCTTCGCACACACATTCTCCCTCCCACTCTCTCTCTCTCTCTCTCTCTCTCTCTCTCTCTCCCACTCACTCGCTTGCGGGCACTCTGAGTAGATTTCCCTGAACTTCAGCCGAAAAGCTAACGTGTCTATTTTTAGCACTATATATGTACATACATACATATATCCGCGTCGTGCGGCTGCTGCTGCAGCGGCGACTGCAGCGACGACTGCGACGCCGACGTCGGCTGCTGTATATGTGAACTTCCTGTTGCAGTAGCTTACAGAGCGCAACGCTGAGTGTGAGAGTGAGCGTGAGCTTTTGCGCTCTCCCGCACGCTCAGAATGCAGTTCTGAGTACATATGGCATGGCGTGTAAGGCACAGTGTGTGAGTGAGAGAGAGAGGGAAAGACAGCGAGATGCATTGTGAGTTACTGTTGCTGCTATTGTAGTTGCTGTAGTCGTCGCTGTTGTTGTTTTTGTTTTTGTTGTTGTTATTATTGACCTAATCACTTGTGGAGCACAAACGAACATTGAACTTTTACTTCCGCATGCAATTTAATGCACGCGTTTCGCTCTCTCGCCAATGTTGTTGTTGCTTTTGTTGTTGTTGTTGCTGCTGCTGTTCTATTGATCATTTCGCCATTTTAGCCGGCGGCGACCGCCCAGTGACATTAATTAATGCATACAGATTCATCAAATATGCGCTGCCCGTTCGGAAAATCATTTTTTATGGCCACCAGCGGCAATTTGTCTGCGCCCAGGCCCTAGGATAAACTGCAAGTGAGTCTCTCTCTCTCTCTCTCTCGCTCCCTCTCTTTCTCTCTCTTCCTCGCTGGCTGTGCGGAAAATCGAGTAATTAAATGCGACAATTTGATGCGCCTGCAGGGTATTTTGCTGCCCAGCATTGCCCATAGAAAATAACTTTACAATTTGAATTTTTTTTTTTTTTAAATATGATTTTTCTTTTAATATTATAATTTTATGTGTTTGTTTGTGTTGTTTTTGTTGGTTTTTGTATATATAACATATACTTAAGAGCTACAAATTGTTTATGATTAAAATTTAAACGCTTTTCTCAAATTTTTACACAAAAAAATAAAAGAAATGGAACTCACGAAAACCGTTGCAAAAAATTTTTGGAAACATTTATATAAATAATGAAAATTTTTGTTCTTTGAAAAGAGTTTTCAACAGGTGAAATTTTCGCTCTTTTCGTTAATAAATATGACACTAAATTTAATACTTTTTTGCATAGTTTTCTTCAGACACAAAATAGATAAATATATAAAAATAATATATATATATGCATGTATATGTGTGTGTGAGTGTGATAGTATGAGTGTGCGTATGATATAGGATAATGTGTATAGCCATTGGAGCTAAACAGCTTTTGTCTGATATATATCGATCCTCATTTGTTTGTGAACGAACAATTCAATGAACAATTTTTTAGATTTAATTAAAAATAATAATCATAATAATAATAATAATAATAGTCATAATAATAATAATAAATAATTTATGCATAATAGTAAATAATTCTTGTGGCTCTCAGGTTGGCTACTTTCTGCGGCGCCGGCAGCTGGATGTCTCCTCGCGGCCACGCAGGCGCAACCAACGCGCGCCCCCAATCATGTCCAGAATATTGTGTTTTGTTTTTGTTTTTGGATAAGGCAAAGGCGGTGTGGAAATGTGGCCGTGGCGGGGCCCTAGTACTGCCCGGTGGGGTCCAGAGTCTGGCGCTGCTTGTGTCGCGTGTCACGCGACTCACGCGGCCGACGATAGGTGCCCGTGGGATCCAGATCGAACATGTTGCTGCTGTTGTTGCTGCGGCTTCTACTTGACTTGTGTGGTATGAAGTGGAAGACTGTGACCAGGCTCTCTTGACTGATCCTAGTAGGTGCCAGTGGGATCCAAAGCCAGCGACATTTTGTGATATATTTTCAAATTCTCTCTCAATGCAAATAAATATATGAATTTATTTAGCTTTTGTTTTTGGGGAGTTTCTTAGCTCTTGCTCAATATTGACCCGTGGGATCTAGATAGGCGGCCATATTTCAAGATTGATGTCACTTAAGCAGCCGAGAAATGATTCCAAAGATCGTCGCTCAATATTGGCCAGTGGGATCCAGATAGGCAGCCATTGGTTGATCGTGTAATTAAGCAAAAATACTCGAATGATATCAACACGATTAACGCCTTCTTTTCTTCCACTCTTCTGCTTCTTTGTTTAAGCTGCTCGTCGTTGTTGTTGTTGTTGTTGTTGTAAGTTCTTTTATTATCACCAGTTGTTATTGACTGATTATACAGAAGAGCGCGTGTGTGTAAGTTTATATTTAGTCTTTAGCTGCTCTTTTCGTGTATAGTTTTCGAGTTAATATATATCTCTCTACTTATATATATATGTATGTATGTATATATATATATAAATATCGAGTCACTGACACTTGAAATCCATTAAATACTTTTGTTGTGTGCTCTTTTATTGTTTATATAATTTAAGCTGATGTCTGCTTATTGTTATTTGCATTTGCTTATTAAAACCGAGCAAAAGAATTTGTATTGTTTTTATTTGGATCTTTTTTTATTTTTTTTGTAAATTTTTGCTGCCGCACAACGCGTAAATCAAACTACAAAAAAACTTCACACAAGTTTTTTACAACAGTGAAAATTGTTAAACTTCGCTCTGATCTCTGCACTCGTCGAACGTTGTCGATCTTATGATTCAAGACGTTGCCCGTACAGCGTTATTTATATGAATCTGAGCGCACAGAGAGGCAAAGAGAGAGGGAGAGAGCGAGAGTGAGAGAGCTGGAGTGCTGGAGAGCGAGGCACGTCGGAAGCTTAAACACGTCGAGCCGGCTGCGCTGTCTGTGCGTATGTGTGTGTGTGTGTGTGTGTGCAAAAGAGCGCGATAGCTGGGCAGGTGTGCGTGTGAAGGTGAATATGTGTCTGTGTGTGTGCGTTGCTCTTAGTTGTTGCTCTTGAAAAATTGAACAATGCGCTGAACGAGCGCGCTATGTTCATTCATAAACCTCTCTCGCTCTTGCGTGCGCTCTCTTTATGGCTGACTAAAGGCATGAGGGCAACACACACACACACACCACTCTATATATATACATACATATGTTTCTATAGTTATGTGTATGTGCATTTACAGAGAGCTGGCCGCCTCCACCTGGGTTTCATTCAGAAAACAGCTGTTTTTGTCAAACTGCGACACGATCGAGTGCCCTCGTTATGCCGCTGTCGTTGTGTGTGTGCGCGACGATCTTCCTGTGAGCGTATGTGTGTGTGTTTGTGTGTGTGTGTGTGCGTCTGCGCTAGGCAGGTAGCGCGCTTGCCTATTGGCTGGCATTTCATTGAGATCCTTGCGACTTGGCTCCACCTACATTTGCGTGCCGCAGCTAATTGATTTACTTCTTCTTCTTCTTCGTCTGCTTCTTTCTTGCCCTTAAGCCTTGCAAATGACTAGGCCAAAAAACTTGGCCCACAAGTAGCTGGGCAAATACACATGTTAACTGTTTGTCCTGGCTAATAACTTGATGTGCCATAAGCGGCATAATTAATTATCCTTGAGCTCAACCACGCCGACGTCGCCGACGACGGCCACAGCCCACTTTACGTGACATTTGACAGTGGCCTAAGCCGGACAGGGCTTAAGCCGGGCCCGCTCATAAAAAGGATAAACGTCTTGCGGCATGAGTCAGCGAAAGCAGCCGTCTGCTTCCGCGAAATGCGATACACCAGACGACTTCCAAGTCGGCAGCAAAAACATAATGTGTTCAAAATTGTTGCAGAATTGCAGTTTTCCACCTTTTTTACCCAAAAAAAAAAAAAAAAAAAAAAAAAAACAGGAGAGGGCAGCAGACGAGGTGTGCGTTAAAGGATAAGTAAGTCAGCTGGCGCAGCAGTTGACAATGGGAAATATAAATCCTTTCGTTTTATTGCAGTAGCGACGGCAGCAGCAGCTACAGCAGCAGCAGCCACGCCTCGTCTTCGACTAAAAAAGGACTTCCGGCGCGCTTGGAGCGCGCACGCGCTGTGAAGCAACCCTTCTTGTTGTGGCACGAGCTGGCGCTCAAGCTGGCGTTGATCCTCGTGTTAATATTCATGTTAATCTTAATGTTAACTGCTGCACTTAACACACACACACACACAGACACACACAATGCGCCGTTACCTGGAAATTTTCCTGACTACCCCCCACCCCCACCGCGGAGTGCTGGACCTTCTGTTGCCGGCCGGATATGCGGCTGTTTTTTGGCGCTTCCGTTTTCACTTTTCAAATGGATTTTCCTTTTCATCATCATTTTTTGTAGCTATCAAATTCGTTGCGCTTCATTTGGGTTTTCCTTTTTTTGCACCTTTTGTCTGTGGCCACGTGCCATGCTGAAAATGGAAATTGGGAAAACGTATCCAACATTTGTGTTGGCACAACTGTCTCTCGGTTTTCCCCCGGTCCTAAATTAGTTTTGTAATTCGATCGAATCGGTTTTCCGTTTTTTTTTTGGGGAAGATTCACTTTTAACGGCTGTTGTTTGGCATTCTTATGCAATGTTTGCGCAACTCCGAAGAGCAAAACACAAAAAAGAAGAGGAAGAACTGTGATCTTGAGGCATCTTTTCTCAGGGCGATTTCGGAAATTTGGGTCAATGTTCCGAGTGTGCATTTCATTTCATTCTATTTCTGCATAAATCACAATTTTTGTTTTCGACTTTTTTATATTTTTGTTGCTCTTGGACTTGGCCATGCAAATACAGCAGTTATTATTTTTTTAACAGTTAGCTCTTTCTGAACCAGAAAAAAAAACAACAAAATAATAAAAAACTTGCAGCGTTCACAATTTGGCCTGTTGAGCACTTGACTTTTAAGTGACGGCCAGTCACAGTCTAGCCGCGACTTAGGAGCGACTATTCTAATTAGCTGGCTAACATAGTTGCAGCATTTAACGGTAAACTGATGTGGCAAGTGGGCCACTTAGCTGGAGCTGGCCTTAGCCAGAGATCTTCTTCTTGTGGCATAGAAACGCTGCGACAGCAGTCCGACTGAAATTTAAGAATCTATCTGTATATCTCAGTAATTTATCTAGATGCTAGTGAATCTATCTCTCTCTCTCTGATGCAGCTCAAATATTATACTCGATTCTACCACTTTGAGATATTTGAGAGCAACTGAAATTAGTAATCGCAACTACGATAAAAACTTATCCAAAAGCTGGTTATTGAATCACTCTTTGGCCAAGATTCTTTGGGGATTTGTAGCCTTCAAGTTTTTCTGGGAAACATGCAGCCTGCTGAAATGTGTGTATTACATCAATGCATTTCCTGGTAACGATAAAAAATGCAAAAAAAAAAAAGTAAATAAAAGAAAGAAAAAGCAAAACAGAAACAAAAACTTCACAATCAGAAAACATTTTTATTTTTAGCTCAAGAACTCGGGAATTCTGCTTTAAACTTGATATATGTATATGTATATATGCGGTAAAGAAGGTACATATACGTATATATAGATTATATTTTTATATATTAGTGTAGTAGTAGTAGTTATAGTATACATAATAGAATGATATATAAATCGTATATATATATATATAAATATATATTCATATGGACTCTGAGCAAGTTTGAGCAAACATTATAATAGGAAACTATAGACCTATATAGATAATAGTCAAAAGTCCCAGCACAGCTAAATAGAATGCACACATGCTAATTAAAAGGTAATCAAAGTATATGACTAACTTTTAATCTAAAGCACAGATTTTAATGGATTGAGTTTTGATTGAATGTGATTGAGGAATAGAGCAGTAATACTTGGTTTTATATGGAGAGGTTTTCTTGAATATGTTTGCTGTCTGTATTCTCTGATAGTCAATAAAAATATATTAAAATTTATTTCAAATGCAAGCTGTGAAGATCTTAAAGAATTCAATAGAAACCGAAATAGAAAAAGTCTGAATGGGACTCATTTCATTCCCGCTCATGAACTAAAGAGAGTGTATTGGTCCCGTGCAATGACATTTGCCTTTCTGATTGTCAACCCGAAAGCTGGAGATTTGAAATTTTGATTATGTATATGTAGACTTTGGTATGCCCTCTTCTGAATATGTTCTGAAGTATTGTATATACGAGGGTCTTTAAGAGTCATATGTAACGCATATCTTAGGTACATACATATATGATATGGATGGATAATCAGAAAACATTAATCTTCTAACTTTCTAAGCTGATTTAGTTGCTTTTCTAATGCTAACGAGTATTATGCAGTTGATTAAGCTTCGTCGTCGAGTAATTTGAATCTCTTGATATTTTCTTCCTGCTATCACTTTTCTAGCAAGATCATCTTCTATTCGGCAAAACGAAAGCTTCAATCTCAGCGCATGCTTCTCGATCCAAGAAGCACGCTTTCTCCAACAACGTCACAGTTCACAATAAAAACTTGAACTATTAACTTGACTCGTAGAATTCTGAGTAGCTAATCAAATTAATGACTCTTAGGGCTTTGTTTTCGTTTCACTTCTGAGTTGATTTCACGCTTATCGGGGCAGCTGCAGTGCGCCGCTCGATTTGATTATTCATTCAGTGATCGGCCCTACTTGGCTGGAAATTGAAAGTCTTCTCGACTATTCTGCGTATTTCGAAAGTTTGAATTCGAAACTCGAAACTGGAAGCTCTGAAGGAAACAAACAAACAAAAAAAACAAGCAAGCTCCATTGCGCAGCGTGAAACGACAATGCCGGACAATGCCGGGCAGTGCCGGACAATGCCGGACAATGCCGGTGAACCACCAGCCACGCGGCTGGGCGCTTGGCTAATTTTCGTGGGTGATCCACGTGCTCAGTTAATTTGCCCATAAATTATCCGCTGAACTTTTACTCCAGTTTTGACAGCCGTCGAGAATCAAGTCGCATTGAAAACGTGAGCGCGTTGCGTCTGCTAAGCGATCGTACTTTTCCTTGATTTCCCAATACTTGGGCCCAGCAACTACCTGAGCCAGTCGCTCGTAATGACAGGCACATATGTTAAATGCCCATTGAATATGCTAAATCAAAGACTCACAAAAAAACAACAGCAACAACAACAACAACAACAAAAAGCTAAACAAAAAAAGAAAGAGTATGTGAGACACCTCATAACAGTCGCAAAATGCAAATACTCAAATCCAAACCGTTTGTTCCGCTCTCCGCTCAATCGGAGCTTTTCTTGGGCACCGCAATTGCCGAAACTCAATGGGAGAGGAAATTAGATAAGTTGAGTTTGGCAATCTGTGGGCGGGCGGGTGGTTGGTTGGCGTTTAGCGCGGCGAAACCGTTAATAGCCAACTATGTACATATGAATTGGCGCAGCGCATAAGAATCTGCATACGATTTCTGCGTCTAAGTTATTCAAACTATTCAATTCACTCACTGAATATATATGTATATAGGTATATATATGTATGTATGTATATAGGTATATGTGTTCAGAACAAGCAGATACAACAGATCATTACACAGCGGTCAAACGGTCATTGGCCTGCTTCTGCTTGCGCATCGTGTCCAGCGTGTCTCGCATCTGTATCTGTGTCTGTGTCTGTGTCTGTGTCTGCAAATGTATCTGTATTTGTATCTGTGGCTGTTGCTGTTGCTGTTGCTGTTGCGATGGCTGCTGCGACTGCTGCTGGCACGTAAGCAGCCTCTTTGAGCTTACGCAAAATTATTTATGAAAACAGCAGCAGCGACAACAACTA